TTTTTTGTTTTTTTGGGATTTTTTTTTTTTGGCAGAACCGGGGATTGAACTCAGACCCTTGTGCTTGCCAGGGAAGCGCTTATGCTACTGAGCCATCTCCCCGGCCCCATTGTCTGTTTTAAAGAAAAACGAAAGTGGTATTTTTTAGGTAAAAGAAAAGGAGCCTGGTCATTTCAAGTAGTCATGTCTTGGCTTGTCCTGATAGTGAATCTCCAGGGTTCATGGCATTTCAGGATGTACATAGGTGAGCTTTCTCTCTCTACGATAGGCTCCTGTTCTCCCTCACCTCTCCAGTGAGGCAGCAGCAAGTTAGGCATTTCTTTCAGTTAGGCTGAGCTGCCCCGTCCGCCTGTGTTCTTAAGGTTGTATGGTAACGCCTGGTTACAGTTTGGGGAAAGGCATGTTATCTTTCATCACGCAGATCTGTAGAAGTGGCCTGGGAGGGGTCAGAACAGTGGCCTAGATCGCACCTCAGGACAGGCGGCTGACAGGAAGACTCACGAGAGAGCAGATTCCCAAGGGAGAAGTATAAGCGTAAGAAGCCCATCAGAATAGTCCCGAGACGAGGAAGATAAATTTTCGAGAGGAACTGAGGCTGGTGACAGCACACAATGAACGGAGCAGAAAGGTTGCAGCCTCAGTGAGAGAGCCCTGTGCACTCTAAGCTGGTTTTGAGAGGTTTGGTTATTCGTTACCATAGTGCCCTTCTTGCAGACAAAACTTAAAACCATTCTGTAAAATGCAAAAGTACTCTTGTTCACAGTTGATACCAGAGATATGGTCAGGAAAATCTCAGCAGTGTCAGCTAAAATCCGTCTCAAATTTTGTTTGGAAAATTACCCACAAAAATGGTATATGTGGTTGGTCCTTAGCCACTCTTAAGAGAGAAACTAGGCATGAGCTAGCACTGGAAATTGTGATGAGTTTACTTGAGCAGCGATTCTGGTCTGCAGCTGCAGACTTCAGGCAGCTCAGCACTCCTGCAAGGAGTGGAGAGAGTTCTCTAAGGCCTCCTTTGAGAGACACAGAAGAAGCAGTTAGAGTCAGCTCGTTAGAGGGGAAAGCTGTGAACTAGGGGGGAGTCTGTCCGGTCTCTGAGTGGGAAAGCCAAGTCTACACTGGATTCGGTTTCGGTGTGTTTACATAGTAACAGGCACTAGAGCTGCCTTTCAGCCTCACCCGTGACACTTGTGTTAACACCAGCATGGAGACTTTAGCTGTGTCCCCATCACTGTTAACTGTCATTTCCTAAGTCTGATCTCAGCAGACTCACCTCTAGCTTGTGCTCTCCACAAATCCAAGGAGAGTGTTGGGTGCTCTTTGTATTTCCACCAAGGTCTAGAAGAACACACTGCATATTTTTAGGTGCTCTGCAAAGATTTGTGAAATTGAACTGATGTTGATTAAATTTTATGGGCTACGACTTTCTGTAGCTTAATTTTCTGTTACTTACTTTCTAGAAATTTGTTATGTAAAGATAGCAAAGACTGGTTTGCTTTATATTTTGGCCATAATAGTTGTTTTCTTGTTAAATAGGAACTCTCCAAGATCACCATGCCAGTTATATTTAATGAGCCTTTGAGCTTCCTCCAACGACTAACTGAATATATGGAGCACACTTACCTCATCCACAAGGCCAGCTCATTTTCTGACCCTGTGGAAAGGATGCAGGTATGTTATCAAGGAGGCACTGGGAAAGATGAGCTGTCTTCGAGACTTGTCCCCCACGCTCTTCCCCAGCCACCCTAAAGGAACGCAGGACAAGGGCAGCGAAGTCCAGTGCCACAGTGGGAAATGTCCTGGGCATGTCATCCACATGCTTAGCGGTCCCTGTGTCCACCCCATCCCTAGAATGCCAGCACCATGGCAGGCCAGTGGGAATTTCAGAAAAAGCAGGAGGTGGTCACGCCATGCTTAATATTGCGAGCTGTTTCTGTGTCGTCACTGTGGAACGTTGCATTGTGTTAGCAGAGGGAGGCCATTTCTGTGCAGCCTGCATAAGAAACTTCTCTCCCCACCCTCTTAGTGGATATTTGCATTACATACGAATGCATGCATCCTGGGGAACTGTTACTGTGCAGGTGGCATCTTGAGTTCTCCTTTCTTTCCTTCCCACCTTTCCCCTCCCTCATCCATCCATCCCCAGATCTCAAGAAGTTTCTAGGAAGGAGTGAATAGACACGCGTACATCTTTGCATTTGTGTGCCTGTACCTGTGTACACGCGTGCCTGTGTGTTCAAGCAAGCCAGCAAGGAATCGAACTTTTGATGTTTCTCCTGAATAGAAATGACTATGTGGTACACATGGCTGGCTGAAACAGAGGCAGCGCGATGCAAAGTGATGGCATTCTAACCTGCATTTTACTCTTTCATGTATATGAATTGACTTTTCCTAACCTCACTGGCTTTCACACCAATTAAATTGTTGAGGTCCTCCCCTCCGCAAATGTGATGTACGGTTGGCTTTCCGTATCCCTGGGTTCCCCAAATTAAATCAAGCTCGAACACACAGTAATTATTCCATAAACAGCACAGGATAACTATGTATATTGCATTAGATATTAATAGAGATGAGCAGTACAGAAGGGAGGATGTGTAGGTTACATGCAAATACTGCAGCATTTTGTGAGACTTGAGCGCCCTCAGATTTTGGCATCTGAGGGTGCTGTTGGAACTCATTCCCATCTGATACTGGTGAACTGTCGTCCTTTAAAAAAGTTTAAGTGTATTAAAAGTAAGTTGGTTTGAGAGCTTCTAAAAAGCCTCATGAGAATTTGTAGCATTCCTAGGGTGTTATAAATGCCGTGTTTGGGTCTCGCCCTGTAGGAACAGACATGGTACTTTTCCTTATAAATATCCAAGTCACTATGTTGTTTGTACAGCCATAGTAAAAACTGAAAAAATTAAACCACCTCAGAATGATTTTGTCAGTTACTTTCTCAGCACACTCCCGTCTTGAGAGAAAGAGGGTGCCAGGCTCTCTGTAACTTGTGCCCTGTCTGCCCCACAGTGTGTAGCTGCATTTGCGGTGTCTGCTGTCGCCTCTCAGTGGGAGCGGACCGGGAAGCCCTTCAACCCACTTCTGGGGGAAACCTACGAATTAGTTCGGTGAGCTCTTTGATTCCATGTCAAGGGGATGGGTGAACTTACATGATCTATGTCGTTCTTCAGTGAAGAGAGAAAACACATTTTGGCTACCTCCAGACAGTTCTGTGTGCATGCAAGAAGTGAAGAGTTTCAATGTATTTCTTGAAATTTAGGATTTTAAAGACTGTCAGAAATACGGAAACAGAGGGGCCAGGGAGATGGCTCAGTAGGATAAACGCTTGACTGGCAAACGCAAGGATCTGAGTTCAATCACCAGTTCCGCAAAAAAAAAAAAAAAAAAAAAAAAAAAAATATATATATATATATATATATATATATATATATGGAAACAGACATAAAATGCACCATTATCAAAGTAGTTACAAGTGTACCTGATCATAAGATTAACTGTCCTCATTTTTATGTAGCTCATAAGACAAAAGTTTTTTGATGTAGAGCCCTATATGAGCATCTGTGCTTTAAAGCAGATAAGGTGTATCTATAAGTTAGTTCTGTTTGCCTGTGCCTATTTGCCTGTTTCTCACTTATATTCAATTAGGCGAATTGATTTGACTCTAATTTCTCTATATCATCTTGTTTGCAAGATGTGTCTGGGTTGTATTTGTATGGTTTATCATGTATGAAGCTGTTCTTTCATCAGGGTGAGAAAGAATTATGTACTTTATCAAACCTGTTTCTTTAATATTTTAATTGCTTTTTGACTGAAATGGCACTAATGTACACATCCAGTGGTGTAATTAATAATGATCTTCCTTTCCTTACTCTTAAGAGATGACCTTGGATTCAGACTCATCTCTGAGCAGGTCAGCCATCACCCCCCAATCAGTGCATTTCACGCTGAAGGGTTGAACAATGATTTCGTCTTTCATGGCTCCATCTATCCGAAACTGAAGTTCTGGGGGAAGAGTGTAGAAGCAGAGCCGAAAGGGACCATCACCTTGGAGCTGCTTGAGTAAGTGCAGTCAGGCCGTTCACCTTTCCTGCTCATGCACTGGGAAGGGTGTACCCAGCCGCACACACCTGACCTCATTGTTCACAAGTTGGAGACTCTGAAAGCACCAGTGTTTACCAAGTGTTAAGTGTTTACCATTGTTAGTCTAAGTGCTGTAAAAAGTCTGTGTTGGGTAGAGGCTGTAGCTCAGTGGTAGAGCACTTGAACACAAAGCCCTGGGTTCAGTCTTGAGCACTGCAATAAAAGAGATTGTCTTGCTGTTTGACCCTGGTGTTTGGATCTGTTGTAAGATGGAGTTAATCATTAACTCTGTGGAAGTTCCTGTACACTAAGTGTCTGTACGTCCTGGTACCAATATTTTACTCACAGCGAATCACCTTGAGCAACACTGTGCTGCGTGTGTTAGACTAGGAGGTTAGGAGTTCTCCCCTTTACCAGGTCAGCTTTACATTCAAAGGCAGTTTTTGTAAGAAGGCACACCTGTCCTCTTCCACTGATTCCAGCTGGACACCCTGGACAGACCGAAAGCCCACGTCCCAGGACTGTGGACAGTGAAGAAGGCCAGACAGGCTGGGGAGAGAAATGGTCAGAGGACCCAAGTCGGCACGCAGTGAGAGTTCTGCTCTTCCTCCCATTTCTCTGCTTCCGAGTCGGAATAAGAAGTCCGAGAACTGGAAGCAGAGCCAGATCAGAATCCGCCCTGTCTGATCAGAGGTTGTGGGGAGGTGGAACGAGCAGGGGAAAGGACCTTTTTACTCTGCCCCTTTCCCCAAAGCATGCACTGCACACAACCAAGAATGCGTTAGTGTCACATGGAAGAACACACATTGCAGTTGCATAATGTAGACTAAGCTAACCTCAAAAGGTTGCATACCGGATCTTCCCATTCACTTCACATCCTGCAGAAGGCAGAACACAGCAACACTGCAAAACAGATCAGCTGTGTAACGATTAGGGATGAGTTAAGAACGCAGAGATTAGGAATGGAGGAGAGTTTGACCCACTGGTGACAGCGGAAGCAGGTCTTTGGCAGATGATCCAGTTGTTCTGTATTTGATTTTATCTGTGATTACACAGATCTGTACGTGTATTAACACTCTTAGAACATTTCATGTTACTTTGGAATGCTTAAAATGGTTATATATTGCTTGACTATTCCCTACCTGGAATGCTTGTAAAAAAAAAAAAAACAGACATAAAATGCACCATTATCAAAGTAGTTACAAGTGTACCTTATCATAAGATTAACTGTCCTCATTTTTATGTAGCTCATAAGACAAAAGTTTTTTGATGTAGAGCCCTATATGAGCATCTGTGCTTTAAAGCAGATAAGGTGTATCTATAAGTTAGTTCTGTTTGCCTGTGCCTATTTGCCTGTTTCTCACTTATATTCAATGCTTGTAATCAGAAGTATTTCAGATTTGGGGTTTTCTTGGATTTGAGAATATATCCTTACATAGACTTACCCGTTGAACACCCCTAATTTGAAATCCAAAATACTCCAAAATCTAAATTTCTTTGAGTATTTGTTGGTCTTTGCAAGTTTTAGATTTCAAATTTTCAGACTAGGGATACTCAGTCTGTATATAGTTTATTTGGAGCGTGGCAGAAGTATAGAATGATTTTTCAAGCTTTTTTTTTTTCTTTTAAAGTGAGAATAACCCAGGTATACTGGTGTGTACTTGTAGCCCAGCTACTTGGAGGGACTGAGGCAGGAGGATCCCTGGAGCCCAGAAGCTTGCAGTCAGCCTGGGCAACATAGCAACACTCCATTTGAAAAGAAAACAAAACAAAAAAAAAAAAAAAAATTGATGCTTGTTTTAGAGTTTAGATCCAGCAGGGAAGCCTGATTGGTTATTCTGAAGCATTTCCAACAAAATGACGCATGTCACTTATTTCTCTGGTTTTGTGTGGATTTTTTAATAGACACAATGAAGCATATACGTGGACAAACCCTACCTGCTGTGTGCACAATATCATTGTGGGCAAACTCTGGATCGAGCAGTATGGCAACGTGGAAATCACAAACCACAAGTAAGGTGCTTCTCAGTACTTAACCTGTCACATCAGTTTTCATTCAACCATTTCAGTGGTCTTTATTATTAAAAAGCCTTTAGTGGAGTCCAGTGAAAATTTAAGAATCAGGTGATAAGTTGGATGTAGTGGTAAACGCCTACAGTCCTTACTTAGCTACGCCCCCTCCTGAAGCAGGAGGATGGCAAATTTGTGGCTACCTCGGGCAATTTAGCAGCACTCTGTCTCACCAGAAAACCAAACCAAACCAGGCCGACCAAACCAAACCCCAGCTCCAACCCCAATCCCAGTCCCAGTCCCAACCCCAGCCCAACACATTGGCAGTATAACTGCTGAGTGCTTAAGAAGCCCATTCGTTTGATGAGTAGCATTCACTGATACTCCTCGTTAAGGAAGATGGCGTGAATCCTGAGCTTCTCCAGGCTCTGAATTTTAATTCCAAACTGAGCCCATTTTCCAGATACTGTTTCCTTTGTGTTATTGAGGTCATAGGGCAGCATTTCACTTACTCCGTAGGTAAGGGAGCATATAAAAGCTTCTAGGTTCGAATTGGGCCTTGGGAATTCAGGCAAGATGCTCTTCACAGCGAGCCCCACATCCCTTTTTTATGGTGGTACTGACTGACAAGAAAGTACCTGTGTGGGCCGGGAAGGTACAGAGAATCAGTACCCGGCCCCTGGCCCAGAAGGGCTGTCATGATTACTGCATTTGCTCTGCTGCTTCTGTGGCATTGCGTAGTCATGGTAATCTGAACTTCCTATTTCCTTCTCAGAACTGGCGACAAATGTGTGCTGAATTTTAAGCCCTGTGGCCTCTTTGGTAAGGAGTTACACAAAGTTGAAGGCTACATTCAAGATAAAAGGTAAAGTTTGTTTCAAATGTTAAGTAGGGTAGATATTGTTTGCAAGATGTCAATATTAAACCCTGCTGCCATAAACTAGGAAACTAGTATTCTGACAGAAGGATCTCCTGTAAGGAAATGTCTGTGTCTTAAGAATTTGATTCACAAGAATCGTGATATTAATACTCGATTACAGAACACTAGCTTAATTGTTGACTACACATCACTCTCTTAACAGCAAAAAGAAGCTCTGCGCACTGTACGGGAGGTGGACAGAGTGTCTGTACAGTGTAGACCCGGCCACCTTCGAGGCTTACAAAAAAAATGATAAGAAAAACACTGAAGAGAAGAAGAACAGCAAACAGGTACACAAACATACTATAAGGCAGTATCAAGGAATAACTGCATTCTTACATTCGTGCTGACCCTTTCGGAGGTAGCCTGCTAGAGGCACAGCCAAGCTCCCCTTGGCAGCTCGCTAGAGGCACTGGTTGACATTTTGTTTTTAGTGTTGCTAATGGGTGCACTTCTTCTTGCATTTTTTTAATGAGCAAATATGTGCCTTAGTCGCAAGCATTTGGCATGACCCTGCACAGAAAGTAGCTTGTGCCACTTTTACAGTAGGGTAGGTCTCTGTGTGGCTCTGATGTAGTGGGCGTGGCTGTGGAAAGTTGGGGTTCGGTGTGGTAGGTTGAATAGGTGAGGCGTCGTCCTGAATGAAGCCTCATATTTTCCTGCTGCGCTGTCTGTTGGCTTGTTTACTACCACTGCACCACTGCAGTCAGGGCCAGTCAGCCCTGGTGCCATTGCTGGGCTCTCTGCCTAGTGATGTGCTGTTTGTAGGGCAGGCAGTGCCCCCGGGACTCCCCTTCGCCCCAGGCTGGCCCTTACTCAGCAGACCCATCTTCTCCTCTCGGGAAGAAACGAGCGCAGCTGCTTGGACAAGAGGCACTTGTTTGAGGATTGACTCCTGTCATTAACCAGGGAAAGGGTCCCAGCACGAGCTCTTGGGTTAGAATCCTGTCCACCATTTTGGGGTGGTCCTGGCCCTGGCTCTGGCTCTGTCAGCCTCAGGACCTTCATTGTAAAAGGGGGCTTAGAGCAGGACCTACTTGTTCGTTAACAGATGGAAAGGGCTCAGAAGAGCCTTCACCTAAAGCAAGACTGACAGTCCTTCCTGCTGGTGGGAATCCTTGGCTTGGCAGCTCGCTAGGAATGCAGGTCCCTGGCCTCACATCACACCCCAGCTCCAAGGCGCTCCCCTATTGCTTCTGCATCTGAAAAGTGTTAGAAGCCCACATTTCAAAACCTCAAAGGTAGAAGTTCTGTTAGTTGTGTGTGTTTGTAAACTGAGCTAAGTTCCCAAGGCCAAGGGCTGTGGCCAGGGCTGCTTTCCCGAGGCTCTGGCCTTTTCCTTTGTTTCCCTCAGCTGTGACAGTCCTGCCTTCCTCCTCACAGCCCCTGTCCCTGCCTGCCTTTGCCTTACTCAGTGAGGTGTGCCGCCCGTTCTCTGAGGCTGTCAGGAAGCCCAAGGGGCTAGGCAAGAAAGCAGCGTCCTGAGACCCGGGCCCATTCTGTGGCTGCAGTCCTGCCAAGAGAAGTCGGCGTGCCAGACACCCTCATGGCACGCTTGTCACCCAGCCCTCCTATACGGAATGAGGACAGCAGAGGGTGTTGGCAGAGCCCCAGGAGATATCCCCAGGGGTGCCATCAGTCTTTGTAGAAACGTGGCCTTCCCCTCAGGCTTTCCTCCTTGTCCAGTCCCTTTCCCCGTGTGAGTCTCCACAGTTCCTGAACTCACCCCCAAGCACAGGAAGCTGAGGAGCAGTGTCAAATGCACTTAAGGCCTCAGCATTAGTGGCCCCTTCTTACAGAGGCTCAAACCAGAAACAGATTGAAGTTTGAACCAGTTAATTGGTTGATTGGTTACCTGTGATACTAGAACATGGGCGTTCCCCCAAAGCCAGGAGCCCTGTGCATATACAGCTGTGGGCTTCCCTGGTTACCCCGAGTCAGGGCCCAGCTGACCCAGCCTTTGGCTCCATTTTCTAACAGCTGTCTAGGTTTTCTTTTTGGGGGTTGCATTCGTGATCCTTACTGGTATCCCATCACTGGTAGGGTTAGCTAGGGCGCACGAGGGGGCATCTTCTTGTAGTTTTGCGGACATTTAGGAGCGGCTCTGTCTGGCTCACTCCTGTGTAAGCACCGCAGCAGTCAGGCTATTCTGGTCTGTCTCTGGCCTTCTGGCATGTGCTGAACTTACTCCATAATTACTTAAGGGAGTTATTTTTCTCTCGAAAAAGCAGAAGCTTTAAAAACACATAATAACAAGATAATACTGATGCCTTAAGTGCATTTGACACTGATAACATAGCCGCTGGGGCTCACGACACTCTTGCGCCCTCCTGTATATGCAGGAGGTCAGGATGGAAGGCCACGGCAGCTGGTCGTCCCGTCTAGCATGCCAGCGGCCTGCTGGTCTGTCTGCTGCTCCAGCAGTGGACAGAGCAGCCCACCCAGGAGATCCCTTCTTCAGCCTCTCTCCACTTGCAGCCTTCAGGACCTCCTGGCCTGCGCCCTTGTTCAGGAGCTCCCAGCCTGCATTTACTACTCACACTCGTCTGAGGTGGAGGCTGTCCCCGCCTGGGCAGTATGCATCTGTAGGCCTCCTGGGCCGCCCCTCTCTGGTTTCTGGTTTGATTCTAGTGCTGTGGCTCTGGAAGGCTTAGGTGTCTCCCAAAGGTACACAGCCCGTAAACCGGCTGGGCCCTCTTCCACAATGAGCAGCGACCTCCTCAAGATGAGTGGGGTAAAATCTTGGACAATTCCGTGGCTTAAGCCAAGTCCTCTTGGACCATCACATTCTGGGTTGTGCCAGCACACGCCGTCTCCATGACTTCCTGGAGAGCAGATGCATTTTGGCAGGAGCGGGTGGCCCCAGGCCTGGCTGGCCCTTGAGCACAAGCAGGAGCCTCTGAGGGCCTCTGTGTCTCTGGGTAGCAGGGCTTTGGCCTGAGCTGCTTCCTGCAGCCAGCAAGGAACCTTCTGCCAAGCCTTTGAGCAAACGAAGATAGCACTCTTCAGCAGGAAAAGAGGAGGCTGGCTGTCTCTGCCCTCACATAGCTAATTTTCTCATGGGATGTGATAAAGTGAGATGATTTTGTAGTTTCTAGGTACATATGTGTGTTTTAAAAGCCTTTACTGAAGGCCATCCACTGGCTATCTTGTAGATGAGCACTTCGGAGGAGTCTGATGAAATGCCTATGCCAGACTCCGAGAGCGTGTTTGTCATCCCCGGCAGCGTCCTCCTGTGGCGGATAGCCCCCCGGCCTCCAAACTCTGCCCAGGTGAGCCCAGGGCCCTTTGCCAGGCAGCACTGAACTGTAGCCAGGTTGTCACTGGTTGGCATCTGTTGTCCCCTGCTGACCTCCTCGGCTACTTTCCTCCCTGCCTAGAGGACCCACATATTTGAGGCCCAGTGGCTCTATAGTAGTCATTTAGAATAAGCCCAACCCTGGCTAACATGTGCAGGATGGGGTCATACCTGCAAGGCTGTGCAAGCCACCCAGTGGGACAGTCGTCATGTCCAAGCAGAGGCTGTATCTCACCAGTATAAAATCTCCATGCCCAATGAGAGTTTAATAGAGAAAAAGCAATGGTGTTGTTGGTTATAGTTCTGCTTAGTTGACAGAGGCTGTGTAACCTATGAGGACCTCATTCAGACTGCCAGGGTGTGAATACCAATAGGTGGTGCAGATTGGATGGAACTGATACAGGGAGAAAAACTGGTCTTGGGTGGGTGACCTCCAAACCATACAAGGAACCTCCAAATGACAGAGAAAAACAATCTCCCAACCTGACCTGCACGAGTTCGTGTTCTCTAAAACCGAAGAATGAATTTTAGGAACAAATGGAGGTTATGAGCAGAATATATTTATTGAGAGAAAGACAGCTCCTGTCCAAGAGAGGGACAGGAGGGGGGCCGAGCAGGTAGTTCCCCCCAGGAAATTGTCTCTTCCAGGGACTTTTATAGTGTAAAACCATGTGAGGCTAAGGTAGAGAGAATGGGAACTCGCTAAGGTGGGCAGGAGGTGGGACAAAACTATGGTCAACCAATGGGATTACATATGGGACAGGGTCTTTTCCTGTTGGAGGTTGGCATGCGGGATAGGGTCTCTTTCTGTTGGGGGTTGGGCTAGTACTCACTTGGGTCTTTCCAGGTGATTGATACCTATTTAGAATATCACTCCCAGGTGCTACTCATTTAGCATTTGTTTGGCCTTTAGGTCTGGCTCACAACAGCAGCATCCGCCCCTCCCACAGTTGTAAGGCATCTCATCTTCTGTGTTGTCTCCTACCAGGGCCTGGCCCTGTCTGACTGCCTATAATATTTCTATCTAACTCGGCTGCCTGCAATAGAACCATTTAGACACATGGTCTGGGAAGGCTGACCAGCCTGACCATTGGAGTCATGGTCGCTGTCACTGCAGACAGCCTCCCTTGGGGCCATTTGAGTTGTGCCTTAGTTTATGCCGTGGTTCGCGTTCATTCATCTGACTGCCTTGCTTCTTTCAGATGTATAATTTCACTAGCTTTGCAATGGTTCTGAATGAAGTGGACAAGGAAATGGAGAGTGTGATCCCCAAGACTGACTGTAGGTTGCGACCTGACATCCGGGCCATGGAGAATGGAGAAATAGGTAAGGCATGCTTGGCTGCTGCGTCGTCTTTGGGGTGATGGCCTCTCATTCCTGGTGACTTAGTGTCCTTAGGCCTTAGCTTTTCCAGTCTCAGACATTTTTAAATTCAAGTTGAGTAACTTATTTTAAATTTGGGAATCAGAGTGGACTTCATTAACCCAGATTTGTTGATTCAGTGTCACTCCCCTGATAATATACCTCACGTAGCCAGCAGCATATCTTACATGTTGGTGGGAAATTTAGCATCTCTGTGAATTTCATATTCTAATCACTTTATATATCACAATTCACATTTTACCTCTGAGCTCCGAAGAAAAGCGGAAACTACATTTTTGGAAACTACATTTTTAAAGAATACAGTTTCTTTTAACTCAGTGGTTCTTCAAATGGGGAGAGCAGTTTTCCCCAGGAAATATATGGTAGTATCTAGGGACTGTGGTTGCCGTATCTCAGGAAAGTGGCCTCTGGAGGCCAGGGCTGCTGCTCCATGTCCCGTCCTGCGCTGGACAGCAGACCTTCCCATGTAGTGTCGGAGGTCCTGGTGGGACACAGCAACAGCACACTGCAAGGTTATGTGATATTCTTGGGAATGGAATTTGAAGTTCTGTGAGGTCTAAGTGTTTAGAATAATTTTACATTTACTTTACTTTTCCACCCAAGTTTTCAATAAAGCATTTCAACTTAATGTTTTTGGCCTTAAAAATAAGCAGGTTATAGGTTGTAGGGTAATAACAATAAGCTTCTCTTCTGGAGGGTTAACAACCTAAGTTTACAGACCAAAATTAGAGAAAAAGAAGGGCTGCAAGACAGCCAACATTTGGGCCCTAGCCTTTCAAGGTCAGTGAAGACTCAGGACATAGGAGAACCTGTACTGTAACATCCTGTAAACTCGGGGCTTGCCCATTAGCTCAGGTGTCTGCCAAAACAAAGCAGTCAGGCTCAGGATATTGTGGTTCGATCCCCTCATCCTCAAGCCAAACCGGACCTGCCCTGAAAGCATCCTATGCAGTCAAAAAAAACAACAACAACAAAAAAAAAACTCCTTCTAAGGGGCCGGGGAGATGGCTCAGTTGAATAAGCGCTTCCCTGGCAAGTGCATGGGCCTGAGTTCAATCCTTGGTTCCACCAAAAAAAAAGATTATTTCCTTACATCCTATAAACTCAGTTGTGTCCCAGATTTTCTGATCAAGGAGATTATGGGGCCACAGAGGAATGTGATTGATGATGTAGAGTGTGCCTAAGAAGAGTCACATGGAGAGAAAACATTCTCTCAGGCTTTCACGAAGAGCAGATTGGTCAAGCAATGGCCATGACTCATCTACGTGGCTGATACTGACAAAGGATCTACAAACTGCAGTACAGGGTTTCAAGATAAATCCTGAGGGGATTTGATTGACCTTATCAAATACAAAAGCCACATTTTTTATTATATAGGTCTTGCTTTATCTTAGTCTTAACCATCCAGCAGAAAAGTATAAAAATGAAGTATAAAAAATAAAGCCATATTAACGTGCTGAGCTATTAAAGGCTCAAGTCAACAACTTCTGACATTGCCAGTCCTATGGAAAACCCACTACTATTATAGACTACTGGACTATATTGGAATATTTTGCTGAATTCACCTACCTACAATATTTGAATGGCAATGGAATGCCCTTCTCTGACAAAACTAAACAAAAGGGATACAAACGAATGACCATTTTGTATTCAAAATAGGATTTACATTCTATCTAATTAAGAATTAAGAGCTACATTCTCTTAATTCACTGAATAGATTTGTTCTAATAATGTTTATAAACAGGATATCATGTCTGCATCTTGTACAGTGAATAACCACTAAGACAATATGCAATGTATTAATTATTGAAACTGTCCTAATCAGATTTGAAACTGTCTCATTGCTACTTGTTTCTCAATAAAATTATTGAAAAAAAATAAGTAGGTTGTTTTTTGGTGAAGGCAGAAGTTGCTAAAGCCAAAAGAGATGAGGGCATCTGAAGGGCCAGCTCCACCGCTCACCACTCACTGTATGCTAAAATGCTAGCTTGCTGCTTGCCTGTGGGGTTTCTGCTGCCCAAGGGGCAGCGTAGATGGTAGCTCTCCATGCTCACTGTGTTAATTGACATTCTTAATCTAGATCAAGCTAGTGAAGAGAAAAAGCGGCTTGAGGAAAAACAGAGAGCAGCTCGCAAAAACAGGTCCAAGTCAGAAGAGGACTGGAAGACGAGGTGTGTATTGGGGCTGGGTGGGGCTCGGCCCTCAGGCAGCAACTGTGTGGACAGAGGCTGGGCAGGCCTGAGAGACAAGTTATTCCTGGTGACTATACAGTATTAAAGCCAAAAAAATTATGTGTGACAAGAATAAGAGGAAGGTTAGAATACCCCCTTGGAATAGTCCTCACGTACTAAACCCTATCCCTATCCCTTCCAAATGTGACGTACGTTTCTCCTACATTGACAGTTGTGCATCATTAAATGCACTGTTTCATCTTTGGGAAGCTGGTAGTCCAGTGAAGGTGACAGGAGGAGGACAGCTGAAAAGGAAGAAATTCAGGAAAGTGGGGGTGCCTAGGGAACTTGGGGGCAGGTGGCCCTGCAGTGCGGCTGCCTTTCCTTGAGTTGTCAGAAGATGCAGTCAGAGGTTGTCCTTTTCTTTAAGAGTTCTTTTTTAACAAGATAAATTGCTTTTAGTACCTAAGGGAAAATCCAGGAAAGGAAAATCCAGAATGTATGTGTTTGGGCATGAATGTACGTTCAGAAGCATTTGCTTGTGTATGTGAGGAAATTATAGCAAATTGGTTTACATCATATGTCACTGATATTTAAATCTTTTTATTTAATTTGGTACAGGGTCTCGCTACACAGTTCAGACTCCTAGTGATCCTCCTGTCTCAGCCTCCCCAGTGCTGGGGTTACAGGCATGCACCACCATGCCCGGTTTTGGTGGCCAGCCTGGTGTGCCTAGGGTTCGAACGCCAGCATGGCATGTGGTACCAGGGATTGAACCCAGGCCCGTGCGCTTGCCAGGCAGGTGCTTAGCCCACCGAGCTACCTCCTGAGCCTACATCACTGATATTTAGGCACTGCTATGGGATAGAAGTAAAATTGGTAGAAAGTAACATCTTGGATTCCAGTCAGTGGTCAGAAGTGGGCAGTGAGATTTCTGACTTTTGAAAGTTTTTTTTTTTTAAAATCAGGAATTAATCACTTTTTATTTAGTAGAATTATTTGTAAATAGGAATAGCATAAAGTTTTTACATTATCATGTAATAGAAGCCATTGCCCCATAATTGTTACAAAATAGATTAAAGCCAATATGTACATAATTTTCCAAACATTCTGAGAGATGCTGTTTAGTAGTCCTTTTGCCTCTAAAAGAACAATGGTTGTTGGAACCAGCAGTGATCTTCTGCCTGTCATCCAGTGGCTCTGTGTGAGCACAAGGCTGTTGTGCAGATGAACTCTGCAAGAGTCTGCGACTGTACAGCCCCAGGGCCAGGGTTGCTGTCGGCCCAGGGTTGGGGCCAGGGCCGTACCCCCTTCCCGCCCCCATCCAAGCGCCAGGTCCCAGAGCCCAGAATACACTAAAAGCTGCTGCTCTGGAAAGCCCATCTCTGCACCGAGGAAGGCAGCGAGGTGCGTGAGTCCCCTGGGAGCCATGCTGGGGCAAGGGCTGGCAAGCAGCAGATGGCGACTAGGACCTCCACCTTTGCTCAGGCTTCCAGGCAGAGCCACTGTACTGTGATCCCTTTTTAAAAGATTTGATACATTTTATCATGCTTTCTAGTCTCTCCTGCAGAAAACCACACATTTGTGGGGTTCCCTTTTAATTTTAATTTTTTTTTGTACCAGAGATTGAACTCAGAACTTTACAACCAGAACTTCTTCACACTTGCCAGGCAGGCACTTAGGCCGCTGAGCCCTTCTAATTATTAATTCCTTTATTTGTGCAGCCTCACTTTCAGTTCTGTGTAGGCAAAAGCCCACTGAGCAATGGATTGTTGGTAAAGACCTTTGGACAGCTCAGTAGAAGCCAGACAGTAAAAGCAGAGCTGTGCCTGAGGCTCGCGCCTTCGCGGTGCTTCCAGAGCCCTCCAAGGACCCTGCCGCCCTTTCCTGGCAGGGGCGGCTGCCCCTCACTGACTACTCTCAGGCAGCAGCACAGTTCACAATATTTTGCTCCATGTGACGGGGGGGAGTTGGGCAGTTTTGTCAAGAACCATTTTCTTCTGCATAGTGCTAACACCCTCACAAGTGGAACCCAGAAATTTCCTAGAAGTGGCCCTGGCTCTCCGTACTAACCGCTGCCATCCCTAACCCCACTCCCTTCACCCCCTTGAAGAGTTCTGGTGCAGTTTTCCAAGATGTAAGGGACCCCTGCTCGGGTGTGTGGCTGCCTACAACCATGAACTGTGTTCTTAGAGACCTCAGGGTGCACCCCCAAGGCAGTGGCAGGAGATGTGGGCTTGGCAGAGAGGGCACGGGAGGGCGGCAGGGCACTGGTGACAACTTCTCACAGCATGAGCATGGTGCAGTATAATATTTTTGAAGTCCTGAAACAATGAATAAGGTAGTAATCTTCCTCTTGCCTGTTCCACATTTTCTAAAACACATAAGGCTTGAGAAAGACAAGCTAACTGGGTTGCACTTGGAGGCAGGACCACATCCTAGCAGTCGGTCGCAGGCTTTCAGAACGGAGTGCTCAGGAGACCTGGGTGGGGACAGAGAGCCCCCAGCCCATGTCAGGCCACCACTTGGGGACCCCTGTCAGTGCAGCGCTCTGGCTGAACTGTCCCCAAGAACAGGTCACCCTCCAGGTAGGCTCGCAGACAGTCTTTGGAGAGCTTTGCGTGAACAAGACCGTCGTGTGCTACTAACCATTCTAGGCTGTGTGATGGAAACATTGATTCCTGGTAATCTTGGATTGCCTGGATTCTGAGTTGCCTGATTCTCTGATATACTTGACCTCGCTAAGCCTACAGAAGTGATGTACTGCTTACTTAGGCTCTTGAAACTTAAGTTAGTATACATTTCACCACAGAAAAAAATCTGATTTCGATTAATAATTCCCAAGGCATTCTACTAGGATATCCAGTCTGAATGACTCATATCCTGATCATGTGAACTAGACTTTACTTAGAAAGTATCCCAAAATCTAATAAATAATATGTAATGCTCTGGAAATTTTGATTGACTATTCACTATATGAACCTTCACAGAATTGTTTTTTTTTGTTTTTTTTTTTTTTTTTTTTTTTTTTTTTTTTTTTTTTTTTTTTTTTTTTTTTTTTTTTTTTTTTTTTTTTTTTTTTTTTTTTTTTTTTTTTTTTTTTGCTATTTTAGGGAAGGGTATCCAGGGTATTCAGGGTCTTACTACTAGATCAGACTCGTAGTGATTCGCCTGTTTACAGCCTCCCAAGAGCTGAGATTACAGGCCCGTGCCACCCCACCCAGGGATCGAACCCCTGGCCCCTGTGCCTACTTGCAGGCACTTTAATCCACTGAGTTGACTGGCCTGAACCTTCACAGAATTAATCAAATATAAAGCCTTTTTTTTTTTTTCTGTGTTTTTATTCTTGCTGCAGTGATAACAGTAATACTAGATACAGACTGACTAAACAAATCTAACCTTCCTCTTACCTGTTAAATATTTGGACAAAATGGCAAAGATATAGAAAACTGTTGTAAGTCCTTTATTTAGAAAATGGGACACAAATTTAACTGAATGTTCTGAAGAAGTACTTTTGCATTTGTTACTCTACAGAAAGCTCGTTCTGTGGAAAATGGTCTTTGTTTTTAGTGGGCAATGAAATGAGTAAGACAACCTTGCCAAATTAGTGTAGATTTAAGATGGAATAAGTTTAGGAATAACCTAAGAATCCGTATCAGCATTGAGGAAAGAGAGACCCAGGAAGATTTGGACTAGAGCTCTAGGTTACGTATGGCAGGTACCAGAAAAATCCTGGTCCTGAAAATCAAATTGAAGTTTGTGCTGTTTCTAGCTTGGGAACTCACAGTAACGTGACGGGTCTGACGTTTGTTCCGCTCCTGAGCTGTAAGATGAAGCCTGCGCTTGTGCTCACTGCGTTGGGCAGGGCTCTGCAGCCCGGTGGAGCACTACTCAGTCTGCTCCCTAAGGAGAACGCGCACTTGTTTGGAAGCGCTCACAGAATGCAGAGAACCGGCAGGTGCCCAAGTGAGCTATTTCCCAGTAACTCTTGGCTTCTTTAAACAGGTGGTTCCATCAAGGCCCTAATCCCTACAGTGGAGCACAAGACTGGATCTACTCTGGCAGCTACTGGGACAGAAACTACTTCAATTTGCCTGACATTTATTAAAATGCAGACAGGTCAGGGTGTTTGGCTAATCTACAAATCAGTCTTAAACCTATGTTTTTAATTTTTATTCTTCATTTGTACTCATCTTTTAAAAGAATCTGTTCCAGATAACATGCATTTCACCCAACAAGGTAGGGCACACAGTGCTACAGATGGTGGAAGTCTTAGGAAAAATGTATGATAATTTTCCTATCCAGATAAACTTATTTGGAATATTATTTTATAGAGGGGTAAGAAACAGATGCTTTTTCTGGTTGCTAAATGTAACTTTAGCTTTCTGGAATTATATAGTAATCTCAGATCCACTTATTTTGGCTATTTTTATGCTGTCATGCTTGAATGTTTTAGCTATAACTGTGATGTTTAGAATTCTCCTGCACAATGTTTATGTGCTCAAATATAGAGGCTGTAATTTTGTAAAGAACTATATTGATGACTTTAATCATATTAATCATCTCAATTTAATCCCATCCCTGATCCCCAAAGAAAAAAATGCCTAAATATTCTGAATAGGGCTTCCCAATTTGAAAATTCTAAAGAATTAAACTGGAAAAGGTATTTCATTTACTTATGTTAGTGTTCTTTACTTTTACAGTTTTCTGTATAATCACTGTCATTAAAATGTTTAAACTGTACATGTTTGAACTGCAAATATGTATAAAATATAGCAATTCACAAATGCCCTAGAAAGATTTTAATTATCATCATGACATAATGACATTTTTAAATGCTTCAACTTCCAGTGGCAACTGCCACCGGCAAGTTTAAACTGCATTCATGTATGTATTATAAGTACTATGTAAAAGGAGGTCTTGTGCATTTCCAGTTTGTAAGGTACCTGTGTACTTAAAATATGTATGGAGACCTACTGTACAGTAGCTTTGCCCCTTTAATTGGGGCATATTAATCTTACAGTATTTATCCCCCTCACATCCCAGACTGAGATACTGGTACGGGGCCTTAGGTAGCTGCCAGTAAATTACTTTAATTGCTGTCTTGATGTTAACAAGTGTTATAATGAAATAATCTATCTGATGCTAAATAAAGGCTTTAGAATGTTCCAAAAACGTGATCTCCTTAAATGGTACATTAACAACACTGTCCTCAAAGAAGAGGTGAGCGGGCAGTTAGCAGTCTCTGGGTAGCAGATTTTTGTAGAGGCTTCGTTTCCATCATTCTGAATGCAGAGAATCGGGCTAGGGATACCTGGCTGAAGAACTTGGACCTGGGTCGAAGGAGAGTGGTTTTAAAAATGTATACAAGGGTTGGAAGTGCTCTTCACAAATCTGAAAAAGATTTAGGATTTGGCATTCACTGGTTTGTGCCTCCTATATTATAAAATAAGCACATATATAAGGTTTAGTGCCTGCAGGAAGTTTATTGATACCCTTGGTGGCAGACTCCATCTTGAGTGATGATTTGGTGTCATTTTTGGCATCTGTTGGGAATGTAAACAAGTGAACTACACAGGAGCAGAAATGCAAGGCTCGGCCTCCTGCGGCTCTAACCTCTTGGTTAGCATGCTTTCACACTAAGGGATCCTAGCGTTTCCTACCTCAGCCAGCCGCCTGGCCAGAAGAGGCCTACGGTAACCATGAAAGGCGGGCTCTATACTTCACATCCTGTCCTTGTCTTGCCCACTGTGTAGGTTCCGTGGTCTGTACCCAATAGTTGGCATTCGAGACAGTAAGTACTGAGAACTGAGGCTTTGAGAACTCCATTCTAGTTGTCACTTTACCTCTTCAGTGTCTCCAGAGAAGCCACTGTGTACGCCATGGATAATCCCACAGCCTGAGCTCTTGCCTGCTCTCCCCGTGCTCCTCCCCCTGGCCTCAGCCTGCTATAATACTGCATCTCTCAATCTACCACATAGGCAGAGGTGACAAGGTTGCTTGGATCACATATTGGGCCTTTATTAATAACTAGTAGGCAGGTGGAGACAACCCATCAAATTAAATATGCCCCGACTCAAGTATTATTATCAATTCAGTTTTTTAAAATATCTTAAATCTCCAGGTTGACATATCAAAATGCAGAGCGCGCAAGTATGTGAAGGCCTCTGTGGCACGGCAGGAAAAAATACCTACCGGATTTAAGGTTCTGTTTTACGCACATGGGCACTGGTCACAGTAATCTCTCCAGCAATACCGTAACTTCCAAAAGGAGTGTGTTTGTCACCAGATCCTGAGCCTTTCTTAGCTACATCTTCTACTGGGAAAGCAACAGAAAGAAAGACTGGGCTTTGTGGCCTGTGGCCCTCGTGCCCACTTGTAGGAGGACTGGCATTCTGGGGACTCTGGGCGTGTTTCTGGAATTTCTGGTCTGCAGCGACAGCAATGGGCACTTGGACTGTAGCAAATCTCTTCAGGCCATCTGCCTGGGAGACAACAGCGTGTCCGGGAAGAGACTTCCAATCTTGCACTTCCTGAACATTTGAGCCCACTAAAATAAAAGGTGGGGGACTGGTCTTCTTGCTGTCATCCATCATCACGTAAGTAGAAGTAACTTTTGGTGAATTCTGCTGCAGAAACTGGGCATCCTTAGAATTAGATAAATAGAGGGTTGCTTGGGGGAAAGGCCCAGGTGCAGGTGGCGGTGATGGGCGGCTTTGTTGATTCATATCAGTTAGACAATAAAGAGTCCACATGTTGTTAGAATATGGTGGTGGTTGTCCTGCTTCGCTTGTTGCTATTGCTATAAAAGAAACACAAAATTTGCAGGTATTAAAGGTTTGGTCTCTGTATCAGGTGCTATGCACAGTAATCTTTGTAAAAAAATTTCACAAACATTTGCAGTTTTGTAAACATTTTACTATATTTTTACAGCTGTAGTAATATGTGCCATAAAGCATGCTATAGAGAGCGAAGTAAGTTATGTCTGGTAATGTGAAAGAATGATTCTGAACAGTAGGAAGAGGAGGACAGTGTTGTGTTAGTGACCGGCAGGGACACTGGAGTTGCAGCTCCAAAAGCAATCTCATTCTAAGTCGCTGTTTCCAGGTTCTTACACTTTAGACATGGCCTTTATGGGATCCTCAGGAGGATTGCTAGCACGGCCTTGGCTTCCCAAAAGTCAACTGAGTGTGGGAGGCCACTCAAGTGAGTGTTGCTGCCTCTGCGCAGTGATTTTCTTTCCCAGAGAAGTCAGGATTCGCTGTCACTTGGTCCCCTAGTCTGGCCCTTCCAGGCACTGTTATCTCCTACCACACACAAAATATCACATCATCCAGGATTCAGCACCCCCAGAATCTGCTTCCTTCTCCAGCACAGCTTGAAATCCTGGGTCCTACCTGGCAGTGAAAGGCTGGTTGTTCAAGAACAGAGGTCTAGATGTGCCACCCATGACCTGCCTTCTGCAGACAGGCACTGTTGTTTGGGAGGAAGATGGGCCTAGGGAAAAGGTTCCTGATGCAGGAGTTTCTCTTTGGGGCACTAGGCCATCTGACGCCTTTTTCTTCCCGGAAGAGAATGATGACCACTGTGTACAGGAGGCAGTCGCTGTGTCTTCCACAGCCTCAGGTACTCTGAGCTGATCTTTCCGTATCAGAAAATATATCCAACTCCTAAGTTTTCTCACCCTGGCATTTGAGAACTTAGTCCGTGTATTTGTAGGACAGCTGGGTTTTTTGGGTTTTTATGTTGTACATTAGAAACATTTAAGTACTTGAATACAGTGACTTGCCTCCTGTGCAGCTGAAGCCCCAGGCTGTGTGCCCAGCACTGCCCTCTAGCTTTGCAGCCGTCTGAATCCCTGACACTCTGCTAGAGAATCTCTTCTAAAACCTGCTTTGGTCATACTTCTTGATCATTCTGGCTGGAGTCAAGAGTTGAGAGTTCCTATAGCAGGAGTGGGGGGAGCAGCTCCTGCATGTCCCTGTCCATCCAGATCTGAGGTGTCTACAGGGGGCAGAGGGTGGGCAGACCCAAGGGCTATACTCAGATGGAGCTAGAGGTCACACTGTGTCTGTGACACAGAGAAACGGGCAGCAGCTGAGCAGCCAAGAACGCAGCTTGGTGGGGCACCTGAGACTGACCACAGGAAGCCAGTCTTGGGAACTGCAGCCCAGGGGCCACCTGCCCCTGCTGGGAAGCCACAGGCAGGCGCTGCTGCTGGAGTCACACCTCAGACCTGGATGCAGAGTGTTCCTGACCTACTACGAAAGCAGTCCAACACACCACCATTTCTTTCACATTTTAAATGCCAAGCCCAGGTAAATGCAGTGCTGTAGTTAGACCTTACATTCACAGGTGAGAATGGGAAACTAACACCTCTAGCAGTTTTGCTACAGGCACATAGTTTTGTGGGCATAGGCTTTGATGTTCACAATGTAGTAAGTCCAAAAGCACAAATAAAGTGTGGACGACCAGACCTTGGGAATGTCTCTTTTAAAAATCACTCCTAAGAGTAAAATCTTAAATACGACAAAGCTTTTTAGTAGATTTGGCATATAAAAAAATTACTGAAAACAAAAGCTCACCTAACCTACGGGGAGCCTACCTAGACAGTGACCTGAAATACAACATGGAAACATCCATCTGATTGTCTTACCTGGCCTCACCAAACCTGGTCAGGTGCTGCCTCCCCTTCTGGTTGCACTTGCAGCTCAGTAAGACCTTCTAGCACTGGAGAGAAGGGGCCACTAGATGACTGTGCAGTCGCCCCTGGGAGCACTGCTTCACCCTCTGTGTCTTGGGGTGAGTTCTGCCCAGGTGTGTCAGGTTCTACTGACATAATCTCCACTTCAAAGTGCAGAGACTTTCCCGGGCCTGTCTTGATAAGGTCCTCTGCATCCAGGGGCTTTTCAGGTGCCTCTGGCTGGCCTTGAAAAGGGGGATCAGAGAGCAGGACTACAGCTTCTACCTCTACGTGGACCAAGGGCGGGGAACCTGCAGTCTCCAGTGCTGCAGGTTGTGCAGACTCTACAGGATTTTTGCACATGCCTGTGGGCATCTCATACACTACAAGTCTGGGGCTACCTGGTGGTGATGGCTGCTTTTCAGTAATAGGGAAGATTACAACTCCTTCAGTGACAGGCACACCGTCATATATGGATGATACACGAAGGGCTGAGGTGACCTGGGCATCAGCCTGCAAAGGGGCCTGGGGAGCTTGATCATAAACAGGAGGGTGTTGTTCATCCTGCAAGGGGACTGAGGAAGCCGCTGATGGTTCAACCTCTCGGTCTTTAGCTTTAGGACCCACATCTAACTGCACAGATGCTTGGCTTACCACCCGCACCTCTCCAGGGTACGCCAGAGGAGCAGTCACCACCACTTCTTCAGCAACCTCTGTGCTCAGCACCTCCTCCATAAAAATGGGCATACTGGTTGCCGTGTCCACCATTAACACATCAGATTCATGAGAATGAGTAGATGCAACATTACCTAGCATCTGAGTGGCAAACTGAGCCGGGTCAGCTGGGACATAAGCGAACTCTGCCGAGACGGGAGCTGGAGATGGTGAGCGGGGTGGGGTGGTGGCCTTGGGCGTGGCTGGCTTGGAGGGACTGCGGACCACGTCAGCTGCCGCCTCAGGTTGCAGGCACTCTGTGCTAACTAGTGGAAACTGGGTGGTTTTGTTGATGAACTGTGGTCCCGAAACACTGTCCTCCTCTGTGTCTGTGCATTTTTCCATCCGTGTAGGTTCTTGGAAGACCACAGATGTTCCTTCACATTCTTTTAAACGCTCTAGTTTCTTCTCCAGCATCATTCCTTCTGACCATTTCTCTACTAAAGATCACAGCGAATGGGTTAATTAGCATATATTCCTCAAAGAATTTTAAAGACAGCAATGATAGTTTCAAGTAACAAAAATACAAGTTTCCGCTTTATTTCCCAGCATCTGTGTTTTTGTGTGGATAATGAAACCTTCTTTGTCCTTACCAGCTAAGATCCTCAGTTCACTTCCTCAGAAATAAGTGACCATAAACATCACATTGGGAAAACTATAATCCATACAATCCTAAACTGGTCACCAGGAAGACCGTAATGTTGTTTCTAAAAACAAGTAATTGTTCCTAGAAAAAAGGAACTGGAAACGTCCATGGAAAAAGCTCATAATCCAAAGTCCATGTAAGCAGGATAACAGGAAAACAAAAGACCAACTCGGGCAGTAAATGAAATCTTCAGTAATGACATGTACTGCCATGAATAAAGGCGTTCCTCAGTTTAAGAAAAGGAGTGAACCAAGTGTAACAATGAATTGGCAAACTGGAGCACCCTGGGAGTTTTTGCGTTAGGAAGCGACATTATCTAACCCTGATGCGGCAGCAGCAGCTGGCAGGCGTGGTCGTGCTGTCAGAATCACACTGACCCAAACAGGAGGAGAAGGCAGCAAGCTCCAAGTTCAGGGGTGGACTCTGAATCCTCAGGCCCGAGGGAAGTGCCTGCATCCTGGAAGGGCAAGAGGAGCTGGAGGGGGAGTGTAACCTCTTCTGTCCTTCACCCCCACAGCTGGTCCACCCCCAGAGTGCAATGTGCGTACTGAGCAGTCTCCTAGGGAGAGGCTTACAGAATCAGTTTGGTTCTTTCACTTGGTGGTGTGTTTTCACAGGCTTACCTGCTCTCCAAAGGACAGAGCCCTGTGAGCCTTACTCCACATTGGCTGCTAGTTTCTTGTAAATTCTGTACAATTAAGGTGTCTCCCGAGTATGAACACTACATGCTTGTGAATAGAAAAATTTCAAAAAAACAAAACCTATGTGTACTCTCTGGTACCTTGTTCAGAACAATCACATTTTATCTCTTTCCACTTTAACTGCCAATCCATATGACTAAATGTCAGGTGTCACTAATGATGGATTAAGATGGGACCAATTACAATCATCAGGGCAGGTAACAGAGACACACAAATATAAGTTAAAAAAGCACCATTCCTAAATAGACTTGAGAACTGGGAAAAGGAAAAAGCCCTTTTAAAACAAAAGGAGTTACTTTCATGATTTTGAGTCAAAGAGCTACAAAAAATATTTTCATTACAATGAAAGGCCAAAAAATAATAAAATAAAAATTAAGAGGGCTGGCCAAATAGCTCAGTGGAGTAAAGCACTTGCTTAGGCAGACATAGCCCCTGCTGGCCCCGCCCCACCTTGGGGCACACTGAGACAGCGACTGAGACTGGGCATGGTGGCACATGCCCAGAGCTGTAATCCCAGCTCTTTGGGAGGCTGAACACAGGCAGATCACTAGGAGTCCGATCTATGTAGTGAGACCCTGTAGACCCTTACTAAAATTTAAAAGGCCAGATTAATTGCAAGATCCCAGCTGTTCGAGTGCAGGGAGCAGAGGTCATTGGTGATGATTCCCCAAAAGGAATCAGAGCTAAGGGAAGGAAATGACACAAGAACAATCTCAGCTGTGCCACAGCCTGCAGAGACATGGCTGCTGCATGACAGGAGGCAAGTGTCCACCAACAGGCTAGATGTGGCTGGAACTTCTGTCTGAAACAGTCGAGACTCAGGCAGGTCGACATTCCCTCCCCCACACTTTCCCACCAGCCTCACATGGCAAACAGGAGAAAGGGCAGACGATGATCACAGAACCAGTGCACAGGCCACTGCTAGGCAGGCAGTGGGCAGGAACACTGAGTGCGCGCCATCCCTGAGGTCCAGGCACAAAGCCAGCCTCGCCTGAGTGGGCCCAGACCTCCAGGGAGCCTCGTGCTCCACTTAGCAGCCAGCACTAATAAGCAGCAGCAGGCTGCCAGCTGCCGAGGGGCCAGAGCACAGAGGCGCTGAAAGCTGACAGATGTCCTCTGGGCCCCACCCCACCCTGTGACCCCACAAGGCCGCTCGGTCCTCTGTGGGCAAGCTGGAGGTCTGCTGGAGCAGATGACAAGACAAGAGCAAAGCTCCAGGCTGGCTGACCGGACTGACCACCCGATGCTAACATGAGGCATCCCTGAGTATGCTCCCTTAGATTATGGTGGGGAATCTACCACACATGGCCTAGCAAGCTGTCTCCATCACTGAAAGCTCTATGAGGTCTGCCATCCCTGCCTTAGGCCTACAGGACAAGGGCTTTTGGGACATACTTGGGCAATTCTGGGAGGGTCCACTGCCCTTTTGAAAATGTCTCAGAGCTCTGCCACACCAGGAACTTACCTAAGACATTAGCCCTAAGAGATAAGATGATTTAAATTTTTAATGTTGAAAATGCAAGACTTAATACATTATTCTCTACAGAAGTTCCCTACTAAATAATGACTATTAGGGCAAAGCAAAGCTTGTGTACTGCGCTCAGGAACAGTTATCAGGAAATTCAGGATGCTGCTTTCTTCCCCAGCTTCTGCCCACAAATACACAAGAAAGGGCCTAGGCATCGGGGCCAGCTGTGATGTAGTAGCTGCGCCACCAGGTCAACTCTTCTGAGCTTTGGCCTCCTGTCTGTGAAGCTGGGATTCCAGTTCTTACCTCAAGAGTTTTGTGAAGACTTGATTTGAAAATATGTCAAATTTAAAGTTCTAGAACTCTAAAATTAACTTTGATTAAAGTTAAATTGGCAATTTGCAAAACTCAGTGGTACAATACAGGGTTAGGGTTTTTTCCCCCTATATGAATGACATGTAAATTTTTTGAGTAGATGTGCTTTACAATTTTTTTAAAAAACAGTTTGTGTGTAATCTCAACATTCTGGGAGGCTGAGGCAAGAGGATCTCAAATTTGAACCCACCCCAGGGAACCTAATAAGACCCTATCTTAATAAAACATAAAAAGGGCTGGGGTGGGGGCTTCCAGTTAGCTTAGCTGTTTGAGCGCCTACTCATGCAAATGCAGCCAGGTGCAAGATACCATGGTTCAATCCCCTCCACCACCTGCCTTACCAGACCCACCCTTAAGGCAGCCTGAGCCAGCCAAAAAAAAAAAAAAAAAAAATAGGGGCTGGGAATATAGCTCAGCTTGAATGGCCCAAATTCAACCCTCAGTACCACCAAAGGGAGGGGACACCTTAAGTTTTGTTTTGTTTTTTGTGTTTTTGAAAGTACAAGAGCCATTTAACTTTGCTTAGCATGTAGTACGACAGAATGTTAGCAAACATACAAACACCAGTTACCATATGCACATGCAACATATAAACTATACTGAACCAGTTGACACCTGTTTATGGTAAAGAGCTTTCTATAATGCTTTAAAGCCTGATCAGGTTCAACAGCTCCTGATTTGTAACCTTGAGATGTGTGAAGAAAACTTTCTTAAAGTTGTGTCCTGGGTAGGTGCAATAGTTTTATCAGCACTAGCACCCACTACGACCTCCGTGAGCTGATTCTCCTTAGACTAACGATGCCCAAACCCACGCAGACTCAGTGTTGGGAACAGAATAAAAGCCCTTCCTTTTTGTAGGAGTTTTTAAGAAATCAAATCAGACTGAAATTCATTGCAAAATCCTGATTTTTCCATAGAAACAAAAAGACTGAGGTAAATTCTAAGCACACAGTAGCTCTTGCAACAGGTAGAACTCACATGGACACTTGGGGTGCCAGGTATAAAACTCCCAGGGAAGCATAAGGAAAAAGGCACACCCTGCACCCAAGGGGACCATGAAGTGGTCACAGACCATCGAAGAGTAAGCAGCAGTGTGGCACAGGAGCCAGGAGCGGCCTGACAGGGTTGGGAGTGGGGAACCTATGCCAGAGCTTATAGTCAGACTTGGGAGTTTAAAATCTTAAAAAATATTCCAGGCCGGGGGAGATAGCCCAGCAGTCTAAGTGGCTGCCTGGCAAGCACAGGGACCCACCTGAGTTTGATCCCCAAAATGGCATGCTGTGCTGGCCCTGCCCCGGGTGCACCCCTCTGAAACCGGGCATAGTGGCACACACCTATAATCCCAGTGCTGGGGAGGCTGAAACAGGAGAATCACCAAGTCTGAGCTGCATAGTGAGATCCTGTACCAAATAAATTAAAAGAAAAGAAAAAAATTCCAACCAGCGTGTGTGCAGCTGGCTGGGATGAGAATGCTAGACAGTGAGTTAAATGGTCTGTGTCTCTTCTCTTCCCTGTATGTCTATGACATGACAGATATTGACAAAGCAAAGGTGAAAAACAGAGTTGAGTCTTTTGAAGGCCAGTGGTACAAAGTAGGTGCCTGACAGTGTGGTCAGTGCAGTGACTAAAAGCATCCCAAGGTACAGTGGCCTTTAGGCCAGTTTTATTCAGCTTTGGAAAAGAGAGGAGGTGGTGGGACAGGCACTGGTGACGTGCACTGTGGCAGGTGGAAGGCAGAAGATGGAATGACCTTTCTGGAAAGGCAGCCTCAGGTGGATTCTAGGTCACTTTCTCCAGGCCAAGTCTGTTTTTGCCTTCTCTTTCCTGTTGGTTTTCCAACTCAGTTATCAAACTATTCTGGGCTGAGTGGAACAATAGCAAATGCAGCTTGGCATCTCTGTGATTTACCCCTCCCTCTACTTTGGATTTATTTCTATCCCTTCTTCTCCCCACTACCCACCAGCACCCCACCACACACAACTTTACCCAAATCTCTTTTCTCAATTAAGACAAAGAATTAAAGCAATGTGGGTGGAATAGCAGTCATGTCTCCTTATGCATCCCTGGGAGCATCTTAACAAGGTTTGAGGCAGCACCTTACCCAGTCCCTGGGGATAAACCACTAAGTGACGCACAGTGATTCTCGAGTGGGAACCATTTCCCTTGAGAACCTAAAGGTAGCAGGCGTGGGGGGCATCTGCAGGTGTCTCAGTGTCTGGGAAGCCAAGATGATGCCCAGTGTCCTGCAGC